TTAATAATAAAACGATTTTATTATTTTTTCTCATTATACGATTTCATTACAATCGCGGAATCGAAAAAGGAAGTAAAACTGATTTTTGCGTTAATGCGTTTATTGTTTTTTGAATATTTTGCCTGCGAAAATTACTTGGATATTATTTTTCTAAAAATATCGTGAAAATAAGGTAGGTTGATACAGAAACTATTTATCGCACATGTACTGTATATAAGCTTCAAAAAAATAAATAAAAATAGATTTTATCAAACGATGAGATCAGCCGATTAATTGTATCGTGTACAATATTTTATACCCCAAGGAAAATACTGTAGGTCTAGAGTAAAATAAATTTTGTTTTCCCACAGTTAAACTTCGCCGCTAATTGCTGTTGTGATAACTTTAATACGATCTTCTAACGACAGCACCTTGCATTTCAGACATTTTCCAACAAACTGAAATGAATTTCCTTTGTTGCTAGACTAATTTATTAATACCTGCATCTAATTTCAAGGGTGGGAGAAGTGCCCGGGATGGGTTCGAACGAGAGTTTAGACTAATTCATTATATTAGGAGGCGGAAACGTTGTTCAGATGGGTTCTTACAATAGTTTAGGCCAGATACATTCGCGAAAGTGGTCGCTTATTACAGGTGTTGTATGTTGTTTCGGACCAAAAATCGATGCCCGCGGTCGCGTTACACAGATGGTCGTTTAATACAGGTAACTTATACGAAGACTCTATGAATAAACTATTCCGTGCCAGAAACTTTTGCCCGTTTTGACAGGTGCCCGTCGAATGCAGATGGTCGCCTAAACAGTTTTCACTGTATATAAATTTATTTATGTAGTTACAAGATAAGCAACTATAAACCTATATTTTATCCTTTGTAATGTAAGTGTACAATGATCACACTGTATAAACAATTATAAACTATCCTGTAATCGTGTAATGCACTGATTATAGTTATAGAATTTAACATTTTTTGTATCAGTTTCTTACGTAGAAAGCTATATATAAAGATATTAAAATTTGGCTTTCATACAATTTATTATTATTAAATAATGGCTACTATTATTGCTAAATGGCTTTACTGAACCTGTGTATAGCCTGTAAGGTAATATGCTGCTGGCCTTTAGTGCAAAGATAGAAATTTCTGTACAGAAGAAAAGAAAATAAAAAATAATTATTGTAGTTTATATTATATTAGACCTAATAAACACTGTAGTGTAATATTTTTTATTATAATATAGGCTATTAATACATTTAAAAAAGATTATCGCGTTAGACATATATTTTTTATAGATTTGACATGATAAAAAATTCAAATTAAAGAAGATTCAGAAGAGTTGTTCAATCTCTATTTTGTGTATATCTGTGAAGATAATCTATAAAAACAATAAGTGGCCTACGGTTACAGTTTAATAAACGTGTTTAAATAAACATTATAAGGGGAAGTTACAGATTTCTATACTTCTTAATGTTCAAGATGATATTCTTGTTCAATTGTTGACTCGCAGACAAATTGATTACTTGACTTTTGAGCCACCCTATGTAAATATACTACTTTTTAAAAAATATTTATTAAAGAAATGTTCATTTTATAAAATTTTAAAATTAATTTTTAGTTATTTAAAGTCTGAAACAATCTTTAAAAAAGAAAGAAACAATAAAGTATGCTATTTATAGTTTGTTTTAATGAAACTAGTTTTTCTATTTTATTCAGATTTTGATGCAGTACTTCTTCCTTCCTTATCATTTTATTATTTTATTTTTATTTGACTTAATAAAGAGGTAAGTAAAGAAAATACAGAATCATGACAATAAAAAATAACATGTAAAAATAGATGAGAAAAGGAAGATATAATCTTCCTTTTCTCATCTATTTTTGAAGATTCTTGAGAAAGGGACCTTTTGTTCTTCTCATAAAGCTTTAAATATAGATTATTAAATATATTTTAAATGTGAATAAATGTTGAATTTATCATCTATTTTAGTGTTTACTTAATAATAATTAAAAAATAAATTTAAGGAATTAAAAAAAACAAAGCTAAAATAAGCTGAAATTATTAGTAGTAAATTTACTGCATCACTTAATCTTTAATTATAGCACTTAGAAGGATGTTAGTACACTATACAATAAGAATATTGATAAGACATATTACTGTTTTTTGCTTTAATTAAAAATAATGGAGCCCAGTTTTTCAAGTCATTTAATGTTTTTATTATAAATCTTTTTTATATTCTATCAATTATATCAATTTGTGCAATGTGTGGAGTTTCTTCAACTTCTCCTTGCATGTTAGATGTTTTATTATTGCATACAAAAAATTAATTTTTCCTATCACCCGGATAATCAGAGTTCTACTTAGAAAAACGATGGTTAAAGCACCTGAAACTGGGTAAGTGAATTGGAAATTTTTCAACTTTCAATTCATTGATTTATAAAAAGTACAGTACATTCGGTTTCCTTAAACTAACAAATAGTAGGGCGTTAACCAAATTATGCAGTTTAATCATAATAAATAACGATTTGTCAATCGGTTATTAAAATGCCAAAAAATAGTAGATCACTCATAGTGAGAACAATGGATCTCAGATGAAAACTGCCTTCTCGCAGCAATAAAAGAATTGTATTAGTATATTCACTCATTCATTAATGAATTTTTCGTAAAATTCGAGAAACATTTGAGATGAAAATGGAAAATTCTTAGTATGGTATTAAGGGTTTAATATAAATTCTCACATTAAATTTATGCATAAGAATCCTAATAAATGTGAATATGAATTTACGAAAAGGTTGCAAGGAAAATATTACACTTTCTTTTCTAAAATTAAAAATTATAAATCACGGAAAAATTATTGCATTGTCTAATATGCATTGGTCTCACTGACTGACTAATGTATTCAATGACATGAAGTGTTTGAGTGTTCTTATTATGTTTCTTACAGGAAAATAATGTTAAAATAGAAAGGGGAAATTGGTTTTGTTGATTGAAAAAGCTAAAACCTCAAAAAATATCAAATATTTTAAGCGCTACGTAGTCTCAAGCAACCCTCAGCTACAACATGTGTCATCCGAGCAGTCAATTCATTTAAGCACTCCCTGCCTATTTTTATTATCTTAAATTTCATTGTTATTTTTGTCTTACTGTACTTATAATATTACCTAATTACTTAATAAATATTTATCACATTAATATTGTTTATATGAAGAATCACTGTATAAACTATAAGATAAAAAAGAGTATCGCGAGCAACGCTAATCAATGGTGCCGCTAAAGGCGGTCAGGGGCGAAGTCCCCGATAAAATATAAAAACATAAATTTCTATAATTAGAATATAAGCAAGGCCTGAGGAAAGTGTTAGAGATAAGAGGGAAAAATAAATAAATAAAGAATACTTGTCTAAGCATTCAAGGATACGTATTCTTCGCGTATTTTGCATGGTTTAATATAGGAATTAGTTTTGACTAGCTTGATATATACTCGTAAACAAGAACAGAACGTACAATAACCTGTGAGAAAAATAGAGAATTTGTTTAATAACTGAATAAATATTAAATTTATTTTATTTTACTGTATAATCGAAGTATCTATAATGAGTTTGAATAAGTATGTAGTTAATTATTAATTGTATTCTTATTCAAAATCATTTCATTATAAATACTTCATTAAAGAACATTTCAAATATAAAAACTTAAATATTGTTTTCATTTTTAAATACATTTCAAGTTATTTTAAATCATTTAGTTTTGCCATTTCCTTCAATTATTGCTTGAAGGGAATTGCAAAATTTTTTTATATTTGAAATTTTCTTCTATTTTTTGAATTCTGCATATGAAACTAGGAAATCTTATTCTGCTAAGGATTAATATAGAATTTATGTCCCTTTCTATCGTTATTTTATTTTACAAATCTCTTTGGAGCAGTTGTACATGCCTTATACACTTGACAGTGTATTGTGCAAGTTATGTCTTATTTGTTGTAGGCCTATGTCTGCTTATTTATGCCTAATTTTTAGTCAAACGGGCTTTTATACCAAATTTCTAACAATCCGAGGCTGTTATTGTACCGTTTATTCTCAATTTAATCGCCTTTATAGAGTGTAATACTTTTTCTAAACCACGTATTTAAACCTCTGCAGATCCTTCTAATTTGTGTGATTATACTGTATACCAGATGTCAAATTATCTCATAATATTCATTAAAATGCACAGATAAATAGACATGTTAAGGTTAACTTTGTTTTTAACTGCTAAAACTACAGACAAATTAATAATTTACGAAATAATACGAAGGGAGAAATGAAATTTATTGTAACGTAAAATGAAAGAAGTAGGACGTCTGTCTGTAAATGTGATACTCTCAAAGTTGAATAGTTGATAACATACAGCGGTTCAAAATCAATTGGTAAGCTGCTTCATACTTAACTTGGAATGTTTAAAAAATTCTTTACGGATAAAAGTCTACTTTTAGGTTCGATTGAGTGGGCTAAACTGAAACTATTCTTAGATTTATCTGCGAAAAATCAAAATTGTTCGTACGGGATTCGAATTGTGATCCCTTATCGTGATAAGAAAATGCCTCACTTCGTGGCCTACTTTCTTGACAAGACGTCTGAAAACTGTTTCGTGAGATAAAATATTATAAGGATTAACGAAGTCAAGAAGTCTTTATGAGAAATTTGGGCAATATTTTAGGATTTTTGTAAGATTTCTTTAAGAATCGACGATTTATGAGATCTAAATAAATCGACCGACTCGTATCAAATGAACAATTGTAGTGTATAATCATTTTAAAACATATTAAGAGGATGTAGAATTCATAAGCAAAAGTTCAATTGAAGATAATTGATCTTTTGATAAATTACTTTGCTAAATAGAGGATAAAACGTGCGATGGTATTGCAAGATTGGTTACAGAGATTGGTTAGAAATTCTCTTGGCAAAGGTTAGTTAGAAAATAAATAAAATAGCCTTCAATTCAAGCTTTTAAAAATATTTAATTATTTGAAGAAGTAAAAGTAGGTTCATTATTTAAATTCAATCAATTTTTCAAAACATCTTATCTTCAATGGGAACTTTAATCACCATTTAACCAGTTTTTATGACGAATTCATTACACGTTACATATATATATTCCTATATATTGCATTATATATATATAATATATAATAAATTTGGCATAAAAACGGGTTAAATGATGATTTATGGTTTTCCGGAAGACTCATTGGAGATATATTTTGATAAATATAAGTATAGCTTATATTACAGTTTTATCTTCCTTAGTTATTACTTACAACTTTAAAACCATTTCTCCTTAAATAAATAGGGTTTTATATATTAAAGAATAGATTTAGTCTATATACTGTTTAGTTTAGTTCTAGCTTGTTTCCATTAACAAAAGTTTAATGAAAATTTAACATACCTTTATATGACAATACACTAGAGTTTATCAGAATTTAACACTTCAGAGAATCGTTTACAAATTCAAGGTGTTAATTATAATTTTAGTATTTTATTCAAGTCATTTCCCGTTAAATAAATTTTTAGTTTTAAATATTTATTTAAACAAGTACTGTATATGCAAATATTTTATGATTTATTTTTATTCCTACAAGGCACCACCTGCTCGTAAACACGTCTGTTTAAACACGCGTTTAATTTAAGAAAATCCCCATTAATGCATTAAATTATTTTGAAGGAAAAAGGTTAAAGATTATAAAACTTGCAGCTTAAAGTTAAAAAAAAAGTAGAACGGATAAAAATCTTTCGTAATTTTTATATGACGCAAAACTTGTACGATCGTTTCCTTGTTAAATATTACGATAAGGAAATGATTCGTGTATTCAAACGATAGATCATCATTAAAAAAAAGAATTAAATACGTCTCTGGACACGTTACAAATGAGGCTAATAAGCTTAAAAATTATATATTCTACTAATTTCGGCATTAAATAATGTGTATCAGTTGGAGTAAAGTTTTTATTTTGTATAGTCTGGATCCTATCTATCTATAGGCTATTTACAATTTTAACTAGGCTACACTGCTTCCACATCACGATTTTCCACCTTAAAATTATGCCTCTGTCAAAATTAACTTCTTTATGACACGTTTGAGACCAATAAAGTCGAAATGTATGATTTTGACTCTGTAAATTGGTGTATAATACACAGCAAGAACTTTTAAATTAGTTAAAAATGAACATAATCATAGGTTAATGCGATTTATCAGTCGTAAAATAGTTTTATTGTGCTGGAAAGATTATAAATATTATTAAAAAACATAATTTCATGTCTTAGATAATCATCATTTTTTATTACGTATGTCCATTGATGCGGAATATTAAACTGTAACTAATGTAAATTTCTATATGACGGTATGATTATTAACTATTTAGGAGTATATTGTACGTGATTAATATTTAAAATATATCGATAAAAACTTATATCCTCGATAATCTTCATAAGAATCGGGCGTGAACCGAAGATCTCTCACCTCATATTATAGGTTATATTCAAATTGAATTTATATGAAGAAAACAAGTTTGTCTTATATAATCCGTGATAGTTCTTAATCTTATAAATGCATATTCATTAAATTATCATCAGAGATGATCAAGTTTAAAGGTCATTATCTGAGCCAAAGATCGACTTCTGTCTAAGAAAATTAAATAACTGTTATAAACTCAGTTTATATGATTTTTCTGGTCTATAGAATTTCAAATAAATATTTTACCAAATAATGGGTCTTTGATCTTAAAGATATTGACTACACATAAACAACTTTCTTATTTTTTCCATAACACTAAGCTTAATTTTTTAAAATTTGTTTTTCATAGTTTTATCACGCTTAAAAATAAAAAAATAATACACGAATGACGGTTAAATTTGCATAACGATGACAGAATAAGCATAAGATCCATCTTCTTTAGCAAGGCATACGTCATCAGATATCTTTGTTGATATTAAAATAATTTTGCTGACACCAAAACAGCACGATAGAACCGGAACTATAGCATCAAAACAAAAATAAAAAAAATCACGAAGTTTTCCTTTTAATTCGCTTCGAGAAGGTCGCTCTAATTCATTCTTGAATAATAAAAATCTGGAATTTATTTTTACCCTAAAATCACACATACAATTCCGCATCCGTCTTTCTTTTTTTCTTTCCTTATTAATTGAATGCAGAACATTTTCTCTTTGCCACAATTTAGATTGGTCCTATATCGTTAATATATTTCCCTGTTTATATCCTAAGGGTATAGGGCATCATCCCTTTGTGGATTTCTTTCCCACATCCTCATTTAACTCTTCAAAAACTCATACACAATGACTTTCGAAGAAACTTAAATTCTCTACATTCATTATGGAATTCTTTACGATTTTCCTAAAATATATTCAATTTTTATTGAAAATGATCATGTAATTATACAAAACTTGCAGCTTATCGGACGAATAGTCCAGCGCAACGTAAAAATCTCGTCCATTACTCTCCAAATTGTCTGTAAGAATAGAACGTGATGCATCATGTTTATTATTATTAAATCGAAATCTGAACGTAGAAAATGAATCGGCCTATATTTCGTTCAATTTATTGCTTGTAAGAACTTCCTCCATCCGGATACACGTAAATAATAATCTCTTGGTTTTGTGATGCAACGGATGACATAGATCAGATGTGACAGTCAATGCGTAAAACTTTAATTGGCACCCAAAGAACTTTTAAATATAAACATTCCGTGAGGTGATGAACGCAAGAATTCTATTCAAAAAGTCTATTTTTTAAAGCTAACTTTCTCCCGTTCGTTTCGTTTTTTTTTTATTTTTATTTAAATTAACGAGAGAAAGGGCAATACCCCAATTTTCCTTATTTATTTGTGGCTTCCCCTTTGGGCATGGACGTGTCCTTTTGAGAAGAATGCACCCCGGACGCTTGACCTACAAACGTGTTAGACAAATCGGATGATAATGACGTAGATAAATGAACGAGTTATATAAAAAGGAATAGAAAAATATATCACAAATCTTTAGGAAATCTTTCGGCATCATGGTAAGTTTCGAAATGTTAGTCTATATCGAGGAGAGAGAAAATGGCGAGGAGTAAACCTATAACTTTATTATTTTTTTACAGTTCTGGATATTTGTGGTTTTGCTGGCTCTTGTGCAGTCATCTTATCAAGTTAATTCCGACCCTTATGGGAAAATAAGTAGTGGAAGTGTCGATGGCCCATTTCAAAGAGATGAAAATTTCATTTATGTTCCCGTAAAATTATTTTCCCATGAGAGTGTAAGATCTGGAGGATACGGAGAAGGAGGAGGAGGTGGTGGTGGCGGTGGAGAAGGAAGGAGAGGTCCTCTTGTCGGAGGAAGTGGACGAGAAGAACAGAGTGGGAAAGAACTTGGTGGTTTCGAGAAGAATCCTGGTTACGGTCCCGCTTTAACTTTCAAAATCACTACTGGAAAAGACTCCGTGGATTACGGCAATAATGGTGGTTATGGGGATATTGGAAAAGGCCCTCGAAGTTATATAACCGAATCTGGTAACGTAAATAATTTCGATAGAAGTGCTGGAAGATACAGTGGAACTGAACCGAGCGGGTATATCGGAGGAGTCCCTAATAGTTTTGGAGGTAACGTGAGAAATTATAATAAAGGAGAATCTCTTGATTATAATAGAGGGAATCTTGGAAATTACGGAAAAGCTGGTGTTGTGACTTTTACTAAAACTTCTCCTGGTGGATATGATGATCAGAAGCCAATTTCTTATGGTAGTTCTCCTCCTGTAAGAAACTATGATGGTGCTGCGTACGGTGGAGATCCTGGTGATTATAGCGACGGTGTATCCGAAGGATTTAAAAAGGAAACCGCTAAAGGATTTTCGTCTTTGAAACCTCTTAGGTATTTCGGAGGTGGAAGTCCTAAAGGTTACGGAAATAAACCTTCAGGAGGATTTGGAAGTTTTCAACATGGAAATAAACCTTTCGTGGTTTCCTATTATAGGAAAAATCCAGACATTTTTCAAGGTAGTAGCTTCATTACTGGAAGTTCTGGATATAAAGACGGAGGTGTTAGTACGTACGGAAGTGGAAAACCTGGCAGTTACGATAAACCCAGTAGTGGTGGTGGTGGTTATCATAGCGGAAGTGTCAGCGGTTACGATAAAGTAAGTTCTAGTAATTATGGAAGAGAAAAGATCGCATCTCCCTTTACTAAAGTCCCTGGTAGTTTTAGTTCAAGTAGAGATGGACTTGGAAGAGAAACTTCTAATAATTACGGAGGACAAAGGGTTATTACTTATGGAAAAGAAAATGACGATAGTTATGGAAAAGAAGGTTCTGGCGCTTATAAAGGGACACATGATAAAATTCCAGCTCCTAATTATGCGATAACAATTGGTAGTGCAAGTCCCGATAATTATGGGGGAGGAAGCGACAGAGGTTATGACAAAGTAAATCCTAATTATGGAGGTAATAGCGACAGTTACGGAAAAGAGAACTTTCCCGGTAATTTTCCCAAAATCCCACTTCCCAACATCTACGGCAAAGCAGACGATGGCAAAAAGAATATTATTCCTATCATAATAAGATTACAACCACCCGGCGGTAGTGAAGAATACGGAAACAGAGGTTACGAACAATATAACAACAATCCAGGCGTTGTTTACGGAAATAAACCACCAAATAATTACGGAATTTCACCTGAAAACTATGGAGGAAAACCTGTTAAACCTAGCGAAGGAAAGAAATTTAACAAAGACTATAGAACTTCTCCAAGCGAACACGGAAGAAACCAAAGTCCAGATGTGGTCTATGGTGATAAAGGCACTGGCGGTGGTCTAGATATTTTTAATTTAAATCTTAGCAATCTCTTAGGCGTTAAATTGCCAGAATCTGCAAATTTTAATTTCGCTGCCAGAAGCGAATATACATAGACTTTTTTTTATTCCCTAATTAAGAATTCATTGACCCGAATTAGCAATAGATTTTAAAAATATCCATCATAATGTATCATAATTCATAATGTATATGTAATCTAGATAACATAAAGATTTTATATATCTGGTTTGTATATTAATAATTCTTTAACATGCATTTTTCCTCAATAATTTAGGAAACGAAAGAACATATTTTCTAATAGGAAAAAAAATTATGATGTTAGAAAATTGCCTTTATAAATTGGAACTGATTGGTTTCGATACATAAATCGTATAGAGATTGAATTAATTATTGTTTAAAATTCAATTTTCGCGTTCTACACGCTACATCCGTCACAATGAACTAATGACACAATTTTATAGAAATTCGTTTATCCAGCGTGCCCAAAACTATCTTCCCATAAACTCAAATTTCTTTAGGTCATGTGAGAAATATGTTTACACGTTTATTACATAAACGATCCTTGATTAACCCACTTTTAATATCTCTGAGGTCGGTTTGCGACCCTCACCTTCAATTGTAAATTATTGTGGAGATAAAAGATATCCATTCAGGCCACTTACCTCGCGCGATTCGATAAAGCATGCTCATTTTCTATACTTTTTTTTTTATTATTCCTACTTTAACATATGTTCTATTTTTAGAATAAATAAGCCATTAAATTGAATTATGTATTTTATAAATTATTTTTAAATTTTAATCATTCTCTAAAGCTCACGCATTGTGAGCCGTGATGCATTATTATAATTTAAAAATAACTAAACTAATTTAAAAGTACTGTATTCGGAAAGTGAACAAAGTATAGAGAAGAATATTAAAGAATGACAAGATCTTGCATCAAAGCGAAATGCACACATACTTTCACAAATAAAACAGATGCAAACTCTAAAATTAAGCGCAATCTGATAGAGTAGACCTATTTTATTCAAAGTTATACGAAATAATGTAAATTATCAAAACATTAAAAATAAGCCAGCGTAATACGAAATTACGAAAATGTATTTTATATTTTCACAATGAAAATGTTATACAAAACTGTTGCAAATTTCTTCTGATATAGTATCGGAAGAGATGTATTTGCTTCATTTTTTACTCCCACCCCCTTCTGTTTACAATTCTTCATCACCGTTGCCTTCCCCTTCCATTTGCGCAATTATATGTACAATAAATGTCAATTAACAACAAAATATCCCAAAATAAATGAATTTTGTATGCGCAAACACTCGGATGACTCCCCTCTTCCTGCGTCAGCATTCATCAACACCCTCCTGACACTCTCCCACATCTCGATGTCGTCGCAATAAATGCACGCCGCCTTAGACACTGTACAAATATACTTAATATTCCTTGAAAAAAGCGGAAATCTATATCCCATAAGATGTAATATCGATCGGATGCTTCTGGATCCTGATCTATACATTTCAGATTCTTTCGATTTTTGTATTTGTTCATTACATAGGACAATAGAACCTATTGTTACGCGTGCTTCTACCTGGAAACGCTTCAAATTCTCGTCATCTATGTGCATAAATCATCATCATCCGTCACTTAATGGAGAATAAACTAGTTAACAATACCTATTTCAAAAGATGGAAAAGACTTAAATGCTACGACAACCAATTCAATACTGATCAAGACAGGCCAAGGAAACTATAATACGAGGATGGGATGGGAGTTCTTACTATTGCATAATCGAATTCTAATTATATTTATTTTGCAATGGTAAATATGCCATTATTTTATTGGTTTCGGGCTGTATACCATTAGAATTATTTCTTCGTGAGACTATACCAAAAAGATTAATAAACTATTTCCAGAGAATCTAGTAGAGTTTTCTTTTTTCATTAATTCGCTAACAAATAATTTTACACAAAAAACCGTAAAAGGTGAAAATGTAATATCCTCAATTGATTTGAAGATAACAGAATTGTTTGGAACAAAAAGTAAAATAATTACTGGTTATTCGAAAGATATCATCTTATATTATCTCTGAACGTAGCAATTATACAATTGTGATCTCCCATTCCTTCACAAGGACCACTATTAAATATAACTTTTATTTATAAGTATTCGATAAGGAAGAATTAAGATATATATTTATGTAAATTTCATCAGATTTCAGAAGTTGCATAGCATTTATTTCATTTCTGAATATCTCTTGAATTTTCCTATACTTCACAATTTTTTTCAGTGTGTCTCCATGAAATTCATTCGAATATTTTAAAGAAAGCATCTTCACAGAAGTGTGTAATCATGAAGTAAAATAATTATGATTTTATTACAGTCTTTTGTCTAATTGACAAGTATTCTGAAATATTTATTGCTTTTTAAAATTAATATTAAATTTTAAATGAATAGATCGAATCAATCGTTTTTAAATTTAAACTTAAAATTCCTTTCTGATGTTTAATTTTATTGCCAATTTTTGTCTCAAATACTCTTCAAATACTTAAACACTTAATCCAGATAATGTGATGAGTGAACAGATACCAAATACATTTCTAAACCGCTTCAGCAAAAGCAATAAAACTCCTGATATTGAAGTTGCACACGATAAACTGAAGAAGTTTCCAATGCTTCAGAAATTCGAAGGCCCGTATAGGCTTTTGGTTAACAGTGAAAAATGATATTGATGCTGAAGGCAACGAGGCATAGAAATATCTCATAAATTTGCACTGATCTCGCTTACGCTGCCATTTTCTATTGCAAGTGTACAGCGTGTTTATGTTCTCGTGTGAACGGAATGACGAAATCTTTACGATTTTTTTGCAGGTCTACTACAAAATTACTCTTTAATTTTTTAAAAGTAAATACATTTTTGTATGATTGGGTGATCTGTGAAATTTTCATGGCCGCTACTTAAGTTAAACTTTGATTACTTACAACGCATAAACTATTTAAATTGTTTGAGATTTCGAAGGTGTTTTTAATAATATACAGATTTTACGTGACGTCCTCTTTCGATTGTACTATTTTTTCCTATAAATCTGCTTCTCCTCAAATATTTCGTGTCAGTGAGTGAAGCCAACTTTATTATATGCAGATGATAAAATGCGATGCTAAAGAGTAAAAAATAGAAACTCGAACATTTTAACCAAATGAATTTTTTTACTTTTATTAGAAATTTTAAAGATCAATTGGTTTATAATAAATATTTGACATTTTTCATAATTAACTTGGAAAGTAATTTGACTTTATTGCCATTTTATTTAAATTCTCAGTAAATTGTGACGATTTGTTCGGTGCTGTTTACACGGTTTCGTTTTATTCTATTTTGAAACAATGCGATAATATAATATATTTAATAAAAAATAGGATTAAATCTTATACTAAAAATATAATATACTCTAATAATATTTACAACTTTTTGTATAGTTATAGCCCAGCACATTAAATCTCCGCCTAAGTGTCATTTAGTTTTTATTTTATCAATATGTTAAACTATAGAATTTTTTATAATTATTTTATGTACATAAAATAAGCAAAAATATATTTTATACAGGGTGTCTATAATTAAATAAGTTAACTATTATATTATATTATTATTTTCAGTTTTGCTTAATTTTTTGTAAATAGTTTTACATTATTTGTAAATAAAGCATTTTTTTTCTGGTTATATATCTCGATAACGTCAGAATCTGTTTGAACACTGTTGAATGTGTTGCTTTATTTCGTGTGTGTGTTTTGAATTTACGAAAAACTTGTCGAAAAATTTATTTTAATATTTTAATAAGATTAACTGAATACAATCTTCTTAAATACTGTCGAATTTCTTGGACATGTTTCTCTAAAGAGAAATTTAAAATTTCATTACACCAAATACGATGCATTTAACTTCCTATTCTAGAAAACAGAAAGTTAAATGCATTATATTGTATATATAATGCATTTAAGAGTATTTGCTGATCACTTCTAAAAGTCTTGGCAAACAGGTCAATTTTACTGTAATTTAATCAACAGAATATTGCCATTCGATATGTAAATTATAAATATTTGAATATTTAATTGTTTCTTCGTTATTTAGTTTTTTTTATTATTAAATATGGTTAGTCTAAATATAGACGTACTGGCCATTTCTTGGTGTGGCATATATTTTAATTAATTTTAAAATTTTTGAGTAATTAAGCGATAAATAAGATCTCTCTACCTCCTTTCGATATGTGCTCGAATTCGACCTTAACGTATTTTTTCACGAAAAATTCAGGCTGGAATGTCATATTTCGTTCTTCGCCCATTCCATTCGATTCAATTAAGGTCAGGCCTATTCGTATCAGATGAGTTGTAAAACGAAGGACAGATTTATGTATGTACGCTGATGATTTGAGTTCTGAACTAACTAAACTTGTAACTAAAAGGTTACTTTTTTAATAAAATAAATAACTAGTAATTTAAGTTTTTAACTATTACTAACTGTAAACTTCTACGAGCAAATCAATTATTTAATTAAATGATTCTCGATAATTTGGCTTATCACATTTCTTTTCTTTTTATACAAAATACTCTGTATAAGACAGAGCCTGTGAGATGTAAACGGAAACTTGTGTTAAATTTCCAATAACTCGTATTAAAACCTGCTTAAGTCGGAAAGTTTGCACAGTCCCTCGCAACACAAGGCTATCACAGGTTTTGCTGTACTGGAAAAGAACCTCGCATTTCATTCCCTTGCAAATATTGTACGTAACTCTCATTTAAAAACAAAACTATTAACACTAGCTCGTTGCCCTACATTACACAATATCTGTAAGCTTGAACTTTCCAGACAATGAACATGATCTTAACTGATATCGCTAGTTTGTATTTTAAATTATCTAATAATATTAACATGTAAAAAAATATTCAATTACCTTCTTTTTCATTTACACAAAGCGTTTTCAGGGGATATTCATTACTTCGCCATCTTTATCCTAACGTTCTTGAAAACGTATTGATCTAGGAATTTGTATTAAATTATAACATTGCTTTATTATAGTTAGGTTAAAATTTTACATTAATCGCTAGATCAAGTAATTTTCTTCTTTGTTATTAACTTTCGTCTTACGGTTTCAAAACTTGCATCATATCTCATTGTTACTTTTATATAAAATATTCCTTGTCCCTCATGACCGGTCATTGATATATTACAGACCTCTCTTTCATCCAGTATAATCCATTTATCTTTGTCATTTACCAGTAATCTTTGTAACCAAGGGAGAGAAACAACTGGTAGATATGATTTAACCTGTTGCTTAACCTAAATAACTCGTATGTTACACTCCCACAATAAACTAACGGAAATTGCACAAAAGACTTATCCATTTTTGTGTAATGGGAATTATTAAGAAAAATAATGAAGAGCTACCTAAAATTTAATTTATATTCATAAAATTCTTATTCAGTAAAGCGAGTAACTACACTATTTTATTCATGTGTTATATCTTCTTAGGATTGTGTATGCATGAAAACAAACTGTGATAAGATACCAGTTTGACCCTTATAAATGAGGCTAAGACCCCTGGCGTAACTAACGGTTGCCACGCTGTAATTTATTTTGTTTGAATCATAAAGTAGAGAATAAGCAGATAGTCAATTTAGTGATGATCATGTTTATAATTGAATCATATTTTTTAAATTTATTTAATTTAAAATATATGCTATCCACCTCAAATTACTACTGTATTGCCCCTGTACATAATACTTTTCCTGTTAGCAATAGAATAATAATTTAAACATTTTTTTAAAATATTAAATAATAAATTTATTTAATTTAGAATATTAAAAGCGTATTAAAAAGAGTAAAATAATAATATAGTATATCGCTTTATTTAAGCCAAACTGGAAATTCCAAGTATCACGTGAGCAGAAATGATTGTTTATAAACATAATAGTCTGATAACTATCAGTTACAGGTTGTTCACTACACAAGGACACAAAATGGCGGCTAATCGAAGGAGCGCCATTTTGATCGATTATAGGCTATACGTAATAATATGGCATGGTATTTTATTACTAAAATTAATGTCGTCAGTAAAATGATGCAAAACTATTTAATTAATATAAAAACGGTTATTGAATGTGTCGAATGAATTCCAAAAGAATTAAAAGATTAGGACAGATCAAAATTTTTAAAGTGGTATTAATCTGCTAAAATGGCAGGTATTTTCGATGTAGAACAAACATGTGTTCGATTATAAAGCGCATGATAAACTTCTAACTAGTGCAAAACTTAATTTTAATAATACACACTTTGTTGCGATATTAGATAGCTCTCTATCATCTCTAAGTAAAATACGATACTTTTGCATTATTTTAAACAATGGAAGCAGGAAAATATTTCAAAATATTGTAAAGATTTACACTTAAAATTAAGCAACGATAAAAATCCAAATGATCGTGATATTGATGGCAATGTCCTTTTCGAGGAACTCAAAGCGTTACAATGTTTCATAAAGGTATATCCCCTCACGATTTATTGAACTTCATCTATGAGAACAATTTACGTGTTACGTTTTCGAATATTGCAATTTGTTTTCAGAATTTATCTAACACTACTTGTATTAGTGGCTTCGCCGAAAGAAATTTCTCAAATTCAAAATAATTAAAAATTATTTACGATCAACCGTAACCCAAGAACGTTTCATAAATTTATCTATGTTAGTCGTAGAAAACGATATTAAGGATAGTTTAGACTTGAGTGAATTAATTAAATATTATTTTTTAAAATCCTGTGTAATATATAGGCCTATATATATAACGTTTAATATTAATTACTATGTGTTTTTAGAAGATAAATGTTATAATATTATAAAAATATAGCTAAATATAGAGAAGTTTATGTGATATGTTATAAGCTATAAAATTAAAATAAAAAGAGTAACTTAGCTGCGATATATATGAATATTATATTACGTTGTTACAAAGATTACAACTTGTGTAACATTATACAGAACAACTGCAAGAAAATTTTCATAAAAGAATTTATTTTAAAATCATAATGCTACAATTGCTGTATAATATACATATCGTTCCATCTATCTTTGTTTTATGTATTTTTATTAAAAATAATGCATTTCTTATGGGCTGAAATATCACCCACTGTGTAATGTGGCTGGTAATGTTTCTTATTGAATGTACTTATTTCTTTCCCGAAAATAACTGAATATTTTCTTATAGTGTAAAAAATTAGCACCATGGCACCCAGTGTCATTAATAAAAGTGGTGTATGCGTATTTTTGCATACTGTATGTATATACACTTTGATTCACCGTTTCTTTAAAATTTCTGTAAGACTTTCTTGACACGTTAATATTTTCCAGAACTTTTCCCACTTCCACCGGATCCTCCAAATCCTCCTCCGAAACCACCGCCTCCATTTCCTCCATAACCTCCTCTACTGCCGCCTCCGAATCCACCCGAGCCGGCTCCACCTCCGAGACTTCCACCACCTCCATAACCAGCTCCTGATTTTCCACCTCCAAATCCACCAGACGAACCTCCGCCGGTTCCAAATCCTCCTGTACCACTACCTCCATATCCTCCAGTTCCGCCACCTCCTGATCCACCAAAACCTCCTTTTCCTCCACTTGCTCCACCTCCGCCATAACCACCAGAACCGCCGCCAAAACCACCTGTTCCACCTGCACCACCACCGCCGTAGCCTCCAGCTCCGCCTCCTGATCCACCGAAACCACCTTTTCCTCCACCTGCTCCACCTCCTCCGTAACCACCAGAACCGCCGCCAAAACCACCAGTTCCACCTGCACCACCACCGCCGTAGCCTCCAGTTCCGCCTCCTGATCCACCGAAACCTCCTTTTCCTCCACCTGCTCCACCTCCTCCGTAACCACCAGAACCGCCGCCAAAGCCACCAGTTCCACCTGCACCACCACCGCCATAGCCTCCAGTTCCTCCTCCTGATCCACCGAAACCTCCTTTACCACCTCCAATGCCACCACTGCCTCCATAGCCTCCAGTTCCTCCTGATCCACCAAAACCTCCTTTTCCTCCGGCGCCACCTCCGCCGTATCTACCACCACCGCCGCCATAACCACCAGAACCACCCGCACTTCCTCCTCCAAATCCTCTGCCACCTGAGCCGCCGAATCCACCTTTTCCTCCAGCACCGCCGCCACCGTAACCACCAGAACCACCAGAACCACCTCCTCCATATCCTCCAGTTCCAGTTCCTCCGCCAAAACCTCCTTTTCCTCCTCCAGCACCACCGCCATAACCACCAGAACCACCCGCACCTCCTCCTCCAAATCCTCTGCCACCTGAGCCGCCGAATCCACCTTTTCCTCCAGCACCGCCGCCACCGTAACCACCAGAACCACCTGCACCACCTCCTGCACCTCCACCATAACCACCAGAACCTCGGCCGCCTCCAAATCCTCCACCTGTTCCTCCTGTTCCACCAAAGCCGCCTTTTCCTCCGGCGCCACCACCTCCGTAGCCTCCCGCTCCACCTCCTGCACCACCACCTCCATAGCCTCCAGTTCCACCAAAACCTCTTTTACTACCACCAACTCCTCCAGAGCCTCCAAATCCACCTCCTCCAGAACCTCCAAATCCACCTCCTCCATAACCTCCAGATCCACCGATACTTCTTCTTCCTCCAGCTCCACCTCCATAACCTCCACCAGTCTTTCCAGCTCCTCCGAAACCACCAGCACCACCAAATCCACCTCTTCCTCCTCCTCCGTACCCTCCACCTCCAGCGCCACTTGGTCCAGCAAAACCTCCAGCAATACCTTCTCCAAATCCTGCAGATGCTACTGGACCACTTCCTCCATAACCTCCTCCTCCTCCTCCTCCTCCTACTCCTCCACCTGTTTTGCCACCTCCATAACCTCCACTTCCACCAAATCCACCTCTACCACCACCTCCTAATCCACCTCCGCCTCCACCAATGCCTCCAAAACCACCAGATCCTCCATAACCTCTGCCTCCTCCTCCACCTCCACCGATGCCTCCATAACCACCTCCTCCTCCTCCACCTCCTTTGCCTCCTTGTCCATATCCACCTCTACCTCCTCCTCCTCCTACTCCGCCTCCTCCACCACCTCCAATGAAATTTCCTCCTCCATATCCACCAGATCCTCCGGATCCTCCACCGAAACCTCCACCACCTACTTGTGTTCCATAACCTCGTTGCAAACTCGGATGAATTAAAATTGCAACGAGTAGGCTTACATTCAAAACCTATCGACACAAAAAAAATGTGTTAAAGGAATTGTTTCTTGTACGTCATTAAAGAAAACATTAAAATTATATTATATAATTCTGAAACAAAAAACACGTTCATTTATGATGTCCATCGTGTTGCGATGGACGATAAAAGAATCGTGCATTAAAACAATTTCTAATTTCAACACACCGTAATTAGATTCTATTGTTCTTAGTTTCACTATTGGAATCATCTGAGCAATGAACCTAAACAAACATAACCTATTGTCTGACCTTTCGTGGTATTTGTGTCAAACTCCTGGAGGAAAAGAATTCTTACAGAGATTACCTTTTTCTTTTTTATCACGGAATATCGGCAATCACGTTATCCTTGAAAAATCTTAATTCCGAATCAAGTTACATGAATCAAGTTAACCTAAGGATTCGAGTGTATTAATTAATAACCCAGACAGATTTTTTGATTTATGTCACACTTTAAACTTATTTAAGTGTTCCAAAATAACTCGTTCTACCTGTCTCCACCGTAGGAATAAAAACACGTGAACTTGAGAATATTAAGTTTTGTTTCTGAAGTTACAAACACGTGGCATAACCCAAAAAATTAAAAATTATAATCCAAAGTAGAGAAGGATGATGATACGTATGATACGGATACTTAAACTAGCGAAGTATCAGATTTAATTAACATGAAGCCAACTTTTGTGTGGTGCTTTTCCCACAGAATAATTTTCCATTCTGTTGAATCTCCCTTTATTTAGATAAACAATATGTAGAAGTCCATTGCAAAAAAATACTCGTTTTACAACAAATTTTTGAAATTCTTTTTGTCTCGTTCTCATCTGTGGGTTCCGTTTATAAATGATAGTTCCGGGATGAAGAATGAAATGTCCGGTTCCGGTTTAAGCGTTCGGAAACGGAAATTTCATTGATGTTCGTGTTTCGAAACGAAAAACTTTTGTTTGAGTAAATGGAAAGCGTGATTTTTATCCACCCAGTTCGATTAGTATCATTAAATAAACATAAAAGATAGCCTAAATTATTAAAGTTCAAAAGAGCATTAAAATAATAAGGTTCCTCTGGATTAATACATCTCTAATTTTTAGACTTAATCAAATTTAAATAAGACAATCGAAAATGGCTCCAAGAATCAAAGGAGAAAACAGACTATTAGCATTACTTTTTTAATGAAAGATTCACCAAATTCATGTAAATTCTATCACATTTTAAAAATTAATTATTTAATTAATATAAAATTATTTTTCTAATTTAATATAATTTACAGATAATTTGCTTACAGAAAATGAACAAAAATTTCCATTCTCTACAGAAAAAAAATTTCTAGTACCGTTATTCTCGTTGCAAACATTTCTTTCGCCTCTCAAAAATGATTCGAGTTACAATATATATACAATAGAATATTAAAAAATATATATATATATACTCACTATATTCATCTTTAGCACATAGGACAGATTCCCCTAAACCCCCAAAAAACTTTTGGTGGTCGACAACATAATGTTCATCCGAACCATGTTATATAGCTTGAAAGAAGCATCGTGATTGGTCGATTTCGAGTGGTGTCTCACAATGGACGCGACGAATCGTTTTTGTCCTCATACCTCCTACGAAACAATCTGGGTCAATAGTATCCCTTTCGTTTGTTCCGCCACCTGGTGTCGCCGTCCCTTCACGATATTGACCGCCACATCACGTCACGTGTTAACAAATATAGTCAAAAATTCGTTTACCCAGTATAAAATAATCGGAAATTTAACATTTGAAGTATAATCTTCCGTGTCAAAAGTCCCACACGTGTAATGTATTCCGGCGTTTAAAGCCATAGACTGGCCAACAAACCCAGTTACCTTCTAAATATTTACAAGGTAAATAGATCACGTATCACTTTAACCGATTTAATCAGCTTGTTGCCATCGTCTTAATTAAAAATTACATGAAATTTTAACTATTTTACGGGTTATTCGTGTATTAAAATCAAGTTTTGAGTGTATATGTATTGAAAATAAATACTCTAACACAGTGGCTATTATAGTGACGTAGCCACGAATAGGGAGTTTAACACATAAACTTAAATTACACTGGCCGTTTTCTTTCTATTCTTGTGTTTAGAAGGATTTTCTGTGGAGTCTTTTGTACTAAATTCATGTTTTGTTGGGAATTGTAAACTTGAAAGGGTGGAATTTGATCTTTTCTTTATTCCATTGCAAGCTGGAACTAATTTAAATTGTATTAATGAACCGTGATTTCAATACAGGGTACTTAGTAATTCAATTTAATCAAATTAAAATTGATTGTAATTAAAAGGTAGAATTTCATACGATGTATTTAAATATTGATTACATATACTAAATGTCTCATTTGGTAGTGGCGATATTTAAATTTTCTTTTTCTCCCTCTCTTTTTAATGATGTTTCAATGTTTTGACACGAAAAAAGGACCTGACTTGTTGATGAAACTGGTTTATACTCGACGAAAGTACTTTATGTGAAATATCTTCATTAACGGAGGTAGAAATTATCGAATTATTAACTAACAGAACGTGCAACATCTTTAAATTTTCCGCTTGATTTTTTTTAATTTACTTTTTCTTAGAAAAACTGTATGCAAATAAACGGAAACGTTTTTAACATTAAATACTGTAAAATATTTTAATCTGACGTAGAGGTATCCTTGACATTTTAACCTTTCGGATTTCCTTGTTACAGTCTTTTTTTTTTCCTATTTTTAAGAATTTCGAATGAGAGATCGATAAAAAATGGCGTCGGAATCGGAATCTTATGTTAAGCTCCGATACCCGAAGTGATTCTATTGATTGATTTTACTCAGGGAATTTGTTTTAACGATGAACTATTAGTTTGATAAACTTTAATTTCTTCGAAATGATGTCGTTTTATTTCGGATTGGTCATCGTAGTTCAAGGAGATAAGTCGCATTAAATACACCTGTCATATGCTGGCCTAATGCCATTTTCGCCTAAGGGATGGCTAGGAATCGACAAGACTAAGGAATTTATTTAGATGTAGGCTATACTTTTTATTAATCGCATTAGGTAAATCGGTTGAAATCCTTCTTTTACAATTTATCCACCCTAAATTCATCAATGGCTGTGCTTCATAAAATCAATAAATCTTACAGCACCACGAATTTCCTACTTCTCAACCTTCTAAACTTTGAGCCACGTCGTTGGTATCTTCGCGTAAATTGCAAATTGACCCAGATAAGACGGATCTCACCTCCCACAGGGCATTGTCTCTAGATGTAAAAACCTTGACCCATTCGCTATCTGGTCATACAAAGATTTTGTGTGTGTGTGTATTGCACTTTTATCAGCGAAAGAGAGAGAGAGAGACTCGAGATTAAGTTTTCATCCATACATCAAGACACTGTGATGGAATTTCCTTTCTTCATAAAGACATCACCTCCCTCGCTTTACATATCTATGAAAATAATATATATTACCAAATTCGCTTGGTAATTTATTTATCTGCCATATAATTTTTGATTGTAAAAATTCTCTTTTCATGACCCGCCTGATGTAGTTCCTTTTTCAATCGTGTTTTATGGATTTAGGAAAGTATCACGTTGTATCAATTTAAACATGTCAAAGTAAACTAATGTGAATGGTTTCTTTTCACGACGGATGGGGGTTTCGCTTCTTAGCTCCCTTATTTTTTTACGTGATCGCTTTGTGAATTATTTCTGCTCCGAACGGAGTCCTTCACCCATTTCTTTCCTGGCCAATATACAAAATCGTGAGATTCTGGTAAAAATGGTCCATATTCAATTCGGTTTCTCGTATGAAATAATGACGTAAGTGTATAATTTATTTCGAGGTGATTAATTTACATCCTTTAATATCCCGTTTTAATGCCGAAACTAACTTAATTGTACTACTTAATTGTACAATAGTCACAAATTTCGTATCCCGAAAATTTAATACACTTTAATTATTATACAATTACAGTTTACGATTATGAAAGTATACGAAAGGTCAGAGAGGGTTGCATCCATTTTTGGATTGATGGAAGCTTTAAATGATGATGATGTCGATGTATTAAGTAAACTAACGGTAATATAAATGATAGAATGGGGTTATAGACAGTGTTTTTTGTGTAATTTATTTAGACAGTATTGAATTCTTACAATAATAAAGATGAAAGTGCACCATAATGAATATATAGGTTGACCATATAAAGATAAAATTTAGGTTGACGTATAGCTCGAGTCGAAAACAAAGATTTTCATCATAAGCTAAGAATAAAACCATTTGTTCTTAGATTATGTTGATTTTTTTTAAATAGTAAAGTGGGGAGGGGATATTTTCAAAGTTGCAAACCTGGATTTTTTTAAAATTTTAATTAAGAAATACATTGTAATTTTGCAACGTAGACCTATACTTTAGAAATACATTTGGTTGTTCTAAAATGGTTAATTATCTCGAAATTACTTTTAACCCGGTTGAACTTAATAATATTCTCATGACATATTTGTCCTTGAGTTTCTTCTGATATAATATTTTAAATTCACCTTTCAGTCTATCATTCACTTACATAAATCAGAATGTCTCCCGAAGACATGAAGAAAAGAACAAAAAAACAAAGATGTAACACGATTGAAGAAATGTTTTGTACTTAATTCCCTTAACGTTTTTGTTTTTCTTCGGGGCTTTTGACTAAACAAAGATTCATCGTCTATCTTCAACCTAGTTAGATATAACGTTTACTATTGTTACATCACTGAGGTTCCATTTATTGATGCCATTCATTTAATGAAAAGTAGTTAATAATTAAAGAAAGTAAGGCAATTGGATAAAGTTGTTTGTATATCCAATAAACAAATTAAATTTCTAAATGAGTTTTTTAATGGTTCTTTATGTTTTTGG